ACGAGAATACTATTTTACTATAAAAAATCATGTGTGATACTATTACTCCATCATATGTGATACTAAATCAGAGACATAGGCGATTTTCGATGCGATCTTGGTTGCGGGCCAAGTCGCCCTTACACCACTGAGCCCCCTCACAAGTATTATCAAATGTGATAAGGTTGTTGATACGATATTATAATTTATCATGACCATCACATGTGATGCTAAATCATAGACGCAGCCAACCTTTGGCGCGGCCTAAGTCATAGAACACATAGTCTGCATATCACAGGGTCCCCTCACGCATATTATCACATGTGATAAGGGTGTTCTTGCATTCTCGTAAAATGGAGGTGTTTTCGTTTGAACCTCCACCTATATATGTATGTATGTGTGTGTGTGTGTGTGTGTGTATATATATATATATATAAGTCATCAAATGCAATCCTCTAAATGTTGTAACTAATGCAAATTCATCTACACCACACAATTACACAACCAATGGCTAGAGATAATACAGTTATATTTTTTTTTAAATACTTCTTAAAATTAGGATTGATCTACAGTTAAAATTAAATTTCATTCGATTACATTGGTTGCAATATTTAATATGTTGCATCTGATTTACAATATATATATATATATATATATATATATATATATATATGAAATATGAAACCCTTTAACATCCAACCTTTTGTACAACATTTAGATATTATATAACAATCTCACAATTTGAAGTACTTAGGAGATGTTTGATTCGATTGAATGTTTCTTTCAAAGGATTTGAACTTCGTTAAAGAATTTGAAACCAGAAAGATTTGGAAATTTTAGTGTGTTTAATTTGTAGGATATGAAATGAAATTGAAATACATTATTTATAGATAATTTATAAAACAAAATTGTAAAAATAATTAAATTATCTTTTATTATTGATTATTACGAACAAATGCTTTTAACATTTTTTTAAACATTTTTTTATTAACCTGGATATCCAACCCGCTATGCGAGCCGACTAATCTCAGGACGACCACCTGCTTTGCAGGTAGCCCGGAGTCACCACATTTGAACCTCCGTGGCCACAAGGGGATTTTTGTTTCTTCTTGGATTGAACCTGGGACCTCCATGCACTTTTGACCTTTGAAGTCAAACTCAAATCAATCAGGCACCACCTTTGTGGTTATTTTTAAACATTATTAGAAATCCTATGAAATACCAATTTCCCCCATGGAACTTCTAATCCAATGTTTATGGGAACTTTTCTTTAAACCAAACACGAGATTCATCAAATTCCAAATCTCATCAAATCCCGCAAACTAAACAAGCCCTTAGGATTCATGGTTTTTGTAACACGTAATCTCCATGTTGGTGGTTGATCTGTAACTAGAAAACATTAAATTTTGTTTCAAATACCGTTGTTATAGTACATGATATTTAAACATATATGGTGTCATCTCAACTAGAAATGTGTGTTGCATTTGCATCAACATGGTGGTCCATGTCCAAGTGACATTCTTGTGACCATAACATCATTTTCTTTGACCCCAAAAGGCATGTGAGCAATGGGGTGAGGTCAGTAAAACATGTATATATGCATGTACTTATTTTGGATCGAGAAAACTGTTGTTTTGAAAAACGATAGACCCACGATAAAACTGACAAGAGAAGGGAATACTGTTCGGTCACTATTACTATCAGAGAGGAGTATTACACATGTAGGCTATTAATCTAAGGGTTGGCATGTTTTGTTTATTAGCGATGACAATATTGATCGACGTGAAAACCAAACAAAATATCTGTTCTTTGTCTGGTCGTTGCTTTCTTATGTATAAATACTTAAATGTCTAAAGATAGTAAGATACAGGTTGGGGGCGATAGACAGTGGAAATAAAAATGACCTGGTGAGAAGGGAATTATTAATGGTGTCTGATTTGGTAGATTGGATAAGCCTTCGTCAACAAATTGTTCCCATTTCCGTTCTCTAACTTTCCCTCAAACAAAATGAAGCAACCACCTTAAGGCTCTGTTCCGTTTGTAAGAATTAGAATTCCTATGAAATCAGGGAAAAAAAATAGAACGACCAATTTCATTATCAAATTCTGTTTAGCTGCTTAATTTGCACATGTAATGGAATAGAACTCCATAGATTCCACAACTCAGAGATTTTATCTGTCTTCCACTATTATGTGATGGAATTAAAACCCAAAAAAACATAGCCTACTGTATACGTCTGCTTATTGCCCTTAAGGGGCCGTTTACCAAATGCTTACCCGGGTAAGTGCTTACCAAGTCACATTACCTTACTGCATGAAAATGGTAAAGACCAAAAATCTTACCCGTAAGAGCGAGACAAGGATCAAGAGTCTTGCCGGCAAGTGAGGGCGACGACTCTTACCATGGTAATGCACTTACCAGGTAAATTGTTGCATACGATGGCTTTTTGGTGGACTAAAATCTTACCCGATAAGTAAATAATAGTGTTAACTTTTAACGGTAAGCACTTGTCGGGTAAGTATTTGGTAAACGGTCCCTAAGACTCCCAATCCTTCAAAACTGCCTCTACCCCCACCCCACCACCAATTAATATTATCATCATATTTATACTACCTTATAAACTAAATTTATCAAAAGTCTTAAAAACAATTTTTAATGCACAAAGTACTATACATTTATGCATAAAGTCTTAAAAACAATTTTTAATGCACAAAGTCGTAAAAGTCTTAAAAACAACTCATAATGCATTAAGTACTACTACTTTATGCATTCAGTCTTAAAATCTCTTAATCTTCAATTAAAATAACATATAATACAAGTTACCAATGCACATTATTACATTTTCTTTACATATTCTCAAGATCCTTTTGACACATTTCACTCATGTCTTCACCCTCTCATACCTCTATGTCTTCTCTTCATCCCCCAATGTGAGATTCAAACTGATATTTTCACCATGAGTTATTAAAAGTTCTCTCATTCGTCTCTCATTCAATTGCTCTAGAACTCTCGGTCTCGCTCTCGATCTCTTGATTCTTTTCTCTTGGTGTAAATCGAACACATTTGTKGAGTCGTTTAAATATGTTGGATTTTAAACTGTCATACAATTTTTTCATCGATAGACTGTAATTGGAACCATAACTTTTATTTATTCAAATTGAATTAATATGTAAAGACCAAGTGTAAAATACATCATCGTTAAATCTTCTCTAATAAAACCAGTGAAACTTCAAAATTGTCAAAATTCACGACTCCCACCGCATTACGCGGATACATAACTAATTGTATTTATAATTTAAGTAAGAAAATTACCCAACTACCCTCCTCCAAGCGTCCTTTATCAATTCCTAAACTTAACTTGAAGTGGAGCATGTTGTGTGGGAATGAGAGTGTTGGAGCAATGGAGGGACAGCAGCAGCCCCTTTTGCCTTCACATATTTCATTTTTCTTGTATTTATTATTACTTCTGGTTCATGGACATTTGGGTGGCCATCAACCATTCAAATCTATTATTTTCCTTATTTTGTCGGTTTTTTATTATTTATTTAGGTTAAAGACAATTTAAAATAGCATAAACCTTATTTAATGTTAATCATTAAGCTCATTTAAAAAGATGCTTATTTTGGTGGAACAAGATGAGATAAGAATGAGACAAAAACTAAAATATTACTAATTGACCATCAATTGATAATAACCCTAATTGGTATATGCTTTTAATGGTCATCACCACCAGCCATTGACAGCCGTCGTCGAGCCACAGTTGGCCATCTCCACTACTATAACCTCCTCCACCATGACCACCACCGGCTACCACTAGCACCGTTGACCACCACTAGGCAAGAAGGGACAAAAAATATAGTCTCATATTTGGCATGACAAAGAGGGAAAAAATAAGATGGGACAAAAATCTACTTTATTTAAACAACAATTTAGGATCTAGTCAATTTAACAGTTTTGTATTGTCATGTTTAGGGCTGTAAACGAACCGAACGTTCAGCGAACCGTTCATGAACCGTTCGGCGGAAAATTTATTTATGTTCGTTTATTTAATAAATGAACAAACATAAACAAATTTTTTTGTTCGTTTAATTAAACGAACGAACATGAACAAGAGTCTCGTTCGTTCATTTATGTTCGTGAACGTCCGTTCATTTACCGTTCGTTTACGTTCGTTCGTTTGTTTATGTTTGTTTATATATTAAAATTAATATATAATCTTTTGTTTATTTATTTTGGTGTTCATTTATGTTCGTTCGTTTACGTTCGTTTAGCATGTTAAGAACGAAAATGAACACACCTAATTTCTAAACGAACGAACACGAACACAAAGATTTTCGTTCGTTTACCATTCGTGTTCGTTCGTTTGTTCGGTTAAGTTAAACGAACGAACATGAACAAGCCTTCGTTCGTGTTCGTTTACAGCCCTAGTCATGTTACAGACGTAACAAATGCAAGACAAACAATTGATTCTATCTTGCCCAATCTCATCTAGTCTACGCACCAAATATCACCTAAGGAATCGGTAGCATTTTAATAGAAGCTGAACCTACACGTAGGTTTTATAAGAAACCAAAGGCACTTTTTTTTTTACTATTAAGCCGATTATATGAATTGTCTTATTTAATGATTATCGAATACATTCAGACAAGTTAATGATCAAAATGTTTCATATAAAACCAGAGTCAAAAATAAGAAATCTTTCAAAATAACAATTATCAGTTGAGTAGTTGGACATCTACTTTGCATCATAAGCCTAGGCCCAACTAAACCATCTTGTTTGTTTGTTTGTTTGGTTTTTTATTTGGGATGTTTGGTTGGTTTTCTATTACGCTGTCTATATGGATTAATCTGGAACAACCTGTTCTTCCTGAATACCCTGGTTTAAGGCCAAAGAATTGGGTAGATTTTTGTTTGGGAGAGTTTTTTCATAGACGGAAGATGTGTGTTTTTTAATTGGGAATTGAAAAAACTTGGTTTTCTGCATAAAACTTCCCCTAGAAGGCTACTGAATAAACTTAAGCCACCACCAAACAGTAATGTACAACGGACCGAGTAAGTTACAAGTCCTGTTAAGCTCATTAAGCTGCTAACAAACAGGCCCTTTATATCGTTAGTAAGATTTTCGATGGGTTTAAACCGAAGATTGGATTCATGAACCCCTTTAGCTAAAAGAGAAAAGAAAATTGCAACCATGACAACATTCCGGTACTTGCACTAAAAACTTACCACCAAAGGGGAAAATGCATACAGCTTCAGATTGAACATCAAGCTGCATAAGTAAACTTCGATCGAAAGACCTACATTATAAAACAGAAATAAGTTGAATCAGAATTTTGTAGACTATTCTCACTCCAGAAAACCAACAGAAACAACTTTCAGAAGTTGTAAAACAATCCACAATCAAAGGAGATTTCACACATAAGCAAAAAGAAAGAAGGAATTTTTACAATGTAAAACTAACAACAAAGAATGGACTGTTATATTATACCAAACAGTCTCCATACCTCATTAAGCATCAATCAGAATACTATTTGGCAACGACCCGAAATATTACACCTTTTTGTTTTTTTTGCTAAAGCTTTCATCAACTCATTAGGCTCGAAAGCAAACTTTAATGTCTATATATAGAGATTTCTGAAACTACTGTTTCTTCTCAATACCAAAACCAAACAAGCCCAGTATATCCCACCTGGAGGTGGGTTTTTGGGTTTGCGTTTGGGATTTAAGCAGACTTGGCCTCTACCCTCAAAGAGTAGATCAGTGTAGCAGCTGTTTCGTGAAGACCCCTTACACTTTCTTCTCAATATCATTGTCTAACACCTAGAATCCAGCACATGATTTGCCAAATCCTATTGAATGTCCTTAGATGGAACATAAAATGGGAAACAAGAAGTAATATATAGTTTCAGAACTCAGAAGATCTTACCAGCAAGTTAATTCCATGTAAAAATTGAAATCTGAATGTCAAAGACAGAAGTCAGAACCATCTGTATCAGAGGATCAAGTGGTAGCCTGCATCCTTCAAGTATATATATTTGTGAAGCTTACAGACAGCCCAAAGGGATAATGCACTGTGACAGTGTATAGGCAGTACAAGAGGCTGATCATGAGCCGTTATGCACCAGATCTCACTCTGCCTATGCCCCACCGTACCATGCCAATAGAGAAGCAAGGTGTACAAGCCTCCAACTTTGGGCCTAGAAAAGGAAGGGGAAGCATCAATAAAATCAACACAACACAACACCACTTATGCTGCCAAATGGTATGATGGAAAGTGTTATGACGACAAACCCCATAAAATTTGCAAATTAAAAGGTCTAATTGCAAATGAAGATATTGTCATCTTCTGTAAATCATAAAGTGTTGCCAACTAAATGACCCTTTTAATAGCATGATTCTTTAAAATAGAAAGGAATAAACATAAGCACCAAAAGGTAAGATGGGCTTTATACAAATGAGCTTGAAACCATTTCTTACTCTCTCAAGATTTCTAATACAAAACTTTCAACAGACCATCATATGTTTAATAACAATAGAATCAAAAGATGGCAACAAATGCTTTTTACAATTATGTGAGGCATTCAATGAAGGCAAATTGAATTGTGCTAATAGAAATAAAGGGTGAAAGGAGAGAGAGCTTCTATTTCCCTGTCATCTATTACGAATACTACTTGCAGAGGAAATTAAGTTTTTTAGCTCAATCAAATGCTCATCGTTTGATATATGGAGCGACATACGAAGGTTTGTTACCATTGATTCTTTTTCCCAACTTAAGGGTCCTGATGCATGCAATGCCTCAATGGTACGACGGTATGCTTGCAACTCTAGTGTATGTATTTCTGCTGCCAATTCCTTTTTACACAGAGAGAGATCTTCTTGATATCCCACTTGACAAACAGATTCAGCATCACTGTCATGACCTTCAACATCTTCAAAACCACCTGATTTGCACTCCATATCATAGTGCCTATAGCTGTTAATACCGCAACTACCGGTGGAAGATGCAACACTGTCAGCACCCTTTGGTTCCAAGCATAAAGGACGTGAACATCTGTATGCACCACTTAGATCTTCCCTCTCCATATCAGCTGCATATGAGGGAGCTGCTCTGTTGTCAAAATAAGAGTACCTTCCTTTTTCACCCGGCATTTCTCTAGAGTTGGGAACAGCATCTACCCTTTCAGGTGATGTGACTAGCAATAGGAGACGTCTACCCTCTTTTTGAGTGAGTCTAAATTTCTGGGCAGTCCCTTCATTTACCTCATCTTGAGAAACACAGCAGGGTGACCCTCGCTTCAGGGTTCTAGTTGAAACGATGTGTGATTCCTGTAAATTGTCGTTCTGAGCACAAAACTGAAAACTTTTTATAAAGAGATCCCCTTTCGGGTCCCTTTGCTTCTCACGGGAGCCTGAATTTAAATTATGCTTCAAAAGCTTTCTGCACTGTCCATCTTCACTATTCATATGAACCTGCTTGCACAACAAAGAATAAAGAAATTATAACAAGCTGCAACACTTTAACTTGGAGGTCCCAACATAGGCAAATTCTCCCAAAGTTAAAACCCCCACATCATATATAGCATAAATTAAAATAAACTCAAATAGCAGAAGAAGTATAGAACTCTGGATAAAAGAGAAAGTGCAAAAATTAGGAAAGGTTTTAAATAGAAGTACCTTGCCAATCACAACCCATTCATCATTTTGCCAAGATTGACGCACACGGAGTTCTGATTTGCTTGCTTCAAACTCTAGGAAAGATCCAGCTAATCTAACCAGAAACAAGTCCCAACGGATAGCCTTGGACACAATTGCCATCTTCCAAGAAAGATCATGAAACACTTCCACCACATCACCAGGCCAACATTCTGAAATTTCCACCGCTGGAGGACATGGTCTAATAAATTTTCTGGATACACGTTCTACATTCTCCTCGTTAGTAAAACCAGGATACACGTCATATCTCAGAGTGTAGTTGTGCCCATTGCCGGAAACTATCTGAGCACAACGCCAAGAATGGTAAGGAACCTCATCTGTAATCAACACCTCCACTATGCTTCCTTTTTTATACTTCATGATCCCAAACTTGTCTTTTATCACAAATCACAGTCCTCAGAATCTGTTCAATAGGAAATTTTAAAGAGTAAATAAAAATCACTACCATCAAAAACCACAAAATATTCGTGTTTTCAGGGAAAAAGCCAATACGTTCATAAATTACATAAACACAAACACACACGAATAACAAACATTCTCTGTATCTTAATCGCCGGAAATTTGGAACCAAGAACCATCACAATTCCTAATGACCACCAGTCGTTGTCACAAATCAACCAAAGACGAGATCAAGTGAACTACAAATAATCACAAGGGCGTACCAAAATAGGTAGAAGAACATCGGCAAACATCAATCGATTTCGAGCAGTTTATATCAATTGCACGAAGAGAATTCAATTTCTTAATAAAAACCGATTAGCAAAAACTCTTTCCTTTCAAACAGGCGAGGTGTTTACGAAAACAAAGTCTGATTAACATGAAATGCCGTTACAAATTCACAAAGAAAACTTCAAATAAAGCAGTAAATGATAAAGATTATGAAGCTAATAACTAACAAATCATTAGATATGATATCAAACATCGATGTCGATCGAAATCGTAAGATGAATTGAAGCATATAAGCGATGGTTGAACGAGATCACTAACCTTTTCGAGGCGAGAAGTTGGTTCTGAGAGTTTCGATCGGAGGTTTCCAACTGCACAAGAATTATGAACAAGGAAGAATACCTTGTTGAGGATATTGGTATTCTTGTTATTATACGCTTGATGTATACTACGCACCTTCCTCTCTTTTTTATATTTTATTTCTTTTCCTTTTTTTTCAATTTTAATGTTAATAAAATCGTAATCGTTTAAGATAAGTATAAGGATACTCATACAATACAACGAGATACATCTCGATTTTAATATACCATTTTATTTTATTTTTGTCTTAGTCAATGTTATAATACGATTTTATGTTGGTTTATTTTTAGAAAGTGATAATGTTTTTATTTTTGAATAAAATATAAATATGAAGATATCATAAAAAAATTAGAAAAAAATATTGATATTAGTACTAAATTAATTATTTAATTTTTTTTGTGTATTTCAATTAATTCATTTTCTTATTTTTGGTTTAATAGTATAATTTTTTATAAAGATAATAATTAAGTATTTTGTTAAAACTTAATAATTATTCTAATTATATTTTAGATTTTTTATATTTAAAATGAAATGTTTATCTTTTATTTGATTATGTTTATCTGCAGTTATTTACACGAATTCAAACATGGTGGGTTAATAAGTTGTACTTGCGCACAATTTACTTGTAATATTGAATTTTAAGTAATATGCAATAATAAACAGTACTTAAAAAATAGTTCTTAAGAGTTTTTTATAAAATGTTTTATAATATAGTATAGATAATTAGATTGTATATAAGAATAATAAATATAATAAAGAGCTAAGAAGAAAATGTTAACAGAGCTTTCATATGTGAATCGTTAAAAAAAATCAAAGTTATATATATTTGAAGATTTAAATAATTATTCAAGTATTGTTTAACAATTGTTGAATAGTTTAGTGCAGAATAATTAAGAAACTTTTATGATATAATGCAAAACAAAATATGATTGTTTGGTAATTGTTCAGAATGTAATTAGCACGTTAAATGGTTAAGTAAGACCCAATATACAAAATTGTTTAGAGGGTTTTAGAATCATTAAGAAGCTTTATCAAACAAGATTCACCTTTTAGTGATTCAGAAAATGTCTCTTAATGAAACTATTAAGAGGTAAACAAACAGCAGATGGATTCACATATATATTTTTTTAAATAGATTTTTTCAATAATTCACATATAAATCTTATTTTCTTATCTTCTCACAGTATTTAAACTTCTTATTTGAATATTCCACTGGTTTACGAAAGATTTATTACCTCTTCTTCTTGATGGTCGTTGTTTCAAAATATTTCGAAAATTTAAAACAAAAACTTTTGGATTTGTAGACTTTTACTAAATAATTTTATATGAATTCTGAATTTCTTCCATGGAGCAGATGTGGTTTTTAACATTGATGAAGATATGATCGCTGTTCAAAAACACTGAGTCTTCAGAAATCTCAAAAGAAATTGACAAATCAAATAATTTGATCTTAAAAACTGAAACATTTTCACAAACAGATAAAATGAAAATCAACTTCTTATTTATGAGAAAAACTTACCAAGAATTTTCGTTTTGACGAGGGTTTTAAGAAACTTTGAAAAAACAAATTGAAATATCAAAGCCACACTCTTAGGAAACATAGAACGGGTGGGCAGATCGTTATCGATAATTTTATTTTTGATAATTTTTGGGTGAAAATTGATTACCGACAATCTCAGCTAGTTCACACGCAACACACCTTCAAGGACATCAATATGAGAGAGACGTTTTGGCTCGCTCAGCAGCTGAGGCTAACAAAGGGTTGTGATCGAACCCGAGACTTATCTTCTATTTGGCAAAATCACTTCACCCATTCGTCAAAATGAACTACACACGACAACCATTCTTGATAGTTTTTATCAAAAAATATTAAATATAATACAACATAAAATTTAAATCATTTATAAAATGTATTCAAGAATTAAGATATTTGAGAAATGACGTAGTAAACGAAGTAGTTCAAACCCTTGATCCCAGTTCATAAAATTATAACGGATTCATTTGTTACTATTAAAAATATTAGAATTATCAAATACATACATACATATATATACACACATACATATGGAAGGGTTCAAACGAGAACATCTGTGATTTGCGAAAATGCAAGAACAACTTATTAATCTCATATTGTGATAACAAATAAAAATTAAAAGATTTTTTTAATTAAAACAATTCAAAAAAAATTGAGAGGCAAAAGGGTAATATTGAAATTCAAAGTGATAAAATTTAAAAAAACACGATCACACTAAACCCAATAATCTGGATAACATAATGGGCTATTATGCTTATCGCTTATTTCAACACGATTTGGTGTGATATGGGTGTGATTATCACATAATTATCACAAAGATTTCACTCGGCTAGGGTTAACTTAGAAAATCGACTATCGATTTGGTGTGATATGGGTATGATAATCATGTGATATCACTATCATAACAGCGCACTCGATTTGATCATGGTTTTGATCAGTTAGGGTTAGACAATCACATATTTATCACAATAATTACTCATGGTTTCTATAGGTTATGGTTACACTCAATTGATCATGGTTTCGATAGGTTATGTTACACAATCACACAATTATCTCAATAGAAGAGAAGAAAGTGGAAACAAATGTGATCAATCCAGGAAAAAAAAAGGATAATTATAATTAATTAAAATAAAAATGATAAAAATTACTTAATTACGTTACTGCTCTTATTAATTTATTTATATTTAATATAAATTAATTTATCAATTAAAAAAATTTAAAGTTATTGAGTTGTTCTCACATCCTCATAAATCACAGGGATATATATATATTAAAGTTGTGATTACATATAAGTGAGAATTCTTTTGAAAATGCATGCAAAAATTAAAAATATTGTTATATTCAGAAAATTTGTCAACATAAACCAACTCATGGTTTAAAAAGTTTGGGGTTACAAAAATCCATCACGTTTTAAGTTTATGAAATAAAAAGTCACGTTCCTTAAAAAGTCCATTTTGTAAAACTATGGAAATTCGAAATTAGTTATTTTGTGTCAATCTTGTTTATTTTTAGCCCTTTTTTTAAATTGGACCAAAATAATCAAGACTTTGTAAATATCTGTTTCGTAACTTACAAAATGTATTTTTTTTTTCTGAATTAAATATGATTCTATAATGAGAGCGATAACTCAAGAAATGTCATTTTAGCTTGTAAAATTCTTATTAACTTGCAAAATCACCTACCATAATCATTACTTACGGAAAATACCTTTTACAAGTTATCAAATGGATATTTGTAAACCACAAGGGTGGTGGCTGATTGGTTTGAGCTTGACTCCAAAGGTCAAAAGTACCAGGAGATCCCAGGTTCAAATCCAAGAAGGAATAAAAATCCCCTTGTAGTCACGGAGGTTCAAATGCGGTGACTCCGGGCTATCTGCAAAGCAGGTGGTCGCCCTGAGATTAGTCGGCTCGCATAACGGATTGGATATCCAAATTTAAAAAAAAATGGATATTTGTGAATCTTTTCTGATTCAAATAGGGAAAATGGGCTAAAAAACAAAAGATAGTGAAACAAGTCCTGTTTAATTTTTATTTTAAAATCTGACATCGTTTTTATTAGCATAATATTAGAAATTTTTGAATTTTATATAAAAATAGTCGTCGTTACAAAATTAACTAAAGTTTTGCTTAAAATTATTATACCCTATCATCACCAAAATTAGGGGACTTTATCAAATGTTTACTTATGTAAGCTTTTACTAAGTTATATTACTTTACCCGATGAATATGGCAATGACCAAGAATCTCATCCGGTAAGAACGAGACAAAGACCGATAGTCTTACCCGGTAAGTAAGGACAATGACTTTTACCACGGTCAGCTCTTACCAGCTAAATTGCTGCATAGAAAGCCGTTTTTGTTGACTAAAATCTTACCTAGTAAGCAAATGATAGTGTTGAAATTTACCGTTAAGTGCTTACCGGATAAGAGTTTGGTAAACGGCCCCTTAGTCTCGATAGTAAACTTTTTGATTTTAGTTCAACTTTTGTTACTAAAAATGCATTTTAGATAATTAATTAATAGTCAAACACTAAAACTTAGACATTCTTATTAGGTTATATATATATATATATGTAGGGGAGCGATCAAATGCAAACCACTCAATTTGTACAAACTGTGCAAACCTCATTCAACCAATCATAATTTTTCATTTTGTTCATTTTTTTGTAATTATGAGAGGTTGACTAATCATTTTTATTGTGGAGGGTGTTAATCATAGATATTATCATCTTCATTATTTTAGTTTTTAGAGAAATACATGAAACAGTTTCATTAATTTTAGAGAAATACATGAAACAGTTTCATTAAATATTATATGAAACAATTTCACAATCATATATAAAACAACTTGATCAAAACAAGTATTATATGAAACAGTTTCACAAGATTAAACAATTTCATGAAAATTTTTCATAAGATTAAACAATGAAATCGACAGATGAAAGTGGTTTGCACGGTTTACACAAATGAGGGCGGTTTTTATTTGATCACTCCTCTATATATGTATRTATATATATATATATATATATAGAGGTTGGTTCAAATAGAAACCAACCATATGGTACAAACTATGGAAACCGATCTTGACCAATCATATTCTTTCTTTACTTTAGGTTCAAATCTAAATTATAAATTAATGATAAGGGTAATTTGGTAATTCCACCTTTTTGTAACCCCCAATAATTAATTGGGAGTTACAAATCTTAAAATATACATCTAATTGTTCATGAGATTTTTATGATTTCTTTATTATTTCATGTTCATGGTATTCATTTCAATTGATTTTATACATATATTGAAATTGGTTGTCTAAGTGTACAAGATTTTCATTTCGTTCAAGATACATGGAGAATCCTATTGTAAAAGAATGT